AATAACCATCAGGTAAAACCTACTTAATATGTTAAAGTTGTTGTTAACATATAATCATTATTAATACTTAAGGTTATACTTACAATAATACATGATTATGAACAAATGTATTTAATGTATATGTAACGTATTAACTATTGAGCCATTAAGCTACTAACCTTATAGTTGTAGTACACAATGTACTATATTAGCTTAGAAAGTAGGTATTTAGGTACTTTGGATTACAGTAAATTTTGTTTTTACTCATTTTGGAATTTGATGAATAGGAGGTATTTATTAATTTATTACCTACTAACTAGTAATAAGTAGTAAAAACTAGGAAGTAAAGTCTTAAAAACGTGTTACATGGTATTTTAATAGTACATATTTAGATTAAAAATTACTAGTAATTTTTTTTTTTTTTTTAGTTTTTAAATACAGCGAAAAAGTGGTAAAAAATATATACGTATAGGTAATCAACATTATTATGAAGACTGTTTAATCGAGTTTTTATCAAAATCTACACAAAGCTTTGTATAACTAAACAAAAACTTACATGCTCACAACGTACCTATGTACATAATTATCTGAATAAAATTACTACCTATACTTACTAGTACCTATTATATAAGTTTATGTGTCATCAACATTATCTTAATTCATAGCCACTCATAGCCTAAGTAATTGATTGTAACATAGAGATAGGGTCATAAGCGAAAATTCATTAAAATTTCGGGGAAAGGGCTGACATTTTTAATACCAATATGCGCCTATAAATAAGTCTAAATTAATATAAAATTATATTTTTAACAATTTTTGGTTGAGCTAATGAAATGTTTGAGAAGGTGCTTAGCCCCTCCCCAAGTCCCCCATTTCTACCTATACGTTGAAAGGCTATATAAATATAGTAACTTTCGCGTTATTTTAGGTTTTTCTAGTAAGACCGAACAAATATTTACTTGGTTGCTGTATATAAGGTAACAGACAAGTTGAAAATCAATTAAATATTACATGAGATGTTCTTTAGAAACCAAGGAATCGCAATTAAATTAAAAAATGGTTGTTTTGTTTTTTTAAATTATTAATGTGTCAGTTAATACTAGCGTTGGAATGAAAAAAAGTATATGCAATATGCACACTTCCACTATTGCATACACGGTTTTTATAGGAACACGTCCAAGTGTCTATAGTCTATTATATCTATTTAATTATAAATTGACTCTCAATACGACAACGATCTACCACTAAGTACCCAATATCGTATTTCATTAAAATTATACAAACATTAAATAGACATGTTTTTTTCACCAACAACAGGCTTATATGGTGCTGCTTTTAAAATCAAGACCCTGTATATTATATACTATATATACATAATATGTATGTTTGTGCGATATGCGCGTTGTCGAAATAGCAAACAGATAAGACGTGCTGTTTTCTTTTATGATCTCACATCAAGAATATAGTTTACACACACGCACACAAACACATACATGTATAGATGCACTTAAGTCTTATAGCATATAGGTCAGAACCACTTTGATGTCAATACGTGATGACTACACTCGGCGCTGTTACTATATGGAAGGCTTGACTCTTTTTCTTTCACAAGTTTTTAGGATTATCCCCGAAAACTTAATCGAATACGGGATTTGGAAATAGTCAAAATTCAATTTAAAATACTTCTACCACAAATAGAAATGTTGTTTCCACATCCCACTAAATAAATATATTTTGAACAAATTTTTACAATACGACGAACACGCACAATTTGATGTCTTATATAGGTAAATAACAAAAGGTTTTCAACAAAATCGCTTAACGAATTCAATGTTTTTACCACTGTTCTTTTTTCAAGTAAATATTGTTCAAGTGTAGTTTTTTTTTTGTATGTACAAGCTTTACAATAAAATTGACTATTATTATAATATTATTTTTGTTTGTTATACATTTTAGGTTTAAATATCATTTGAATATAATTCGTTATAATATTGATTTTCAAAATATGTATAACAATTACAAGTATGTATTTATTTTATACTTAAATAATAAATTAATGTCTTATAGGTTATGCATTAAAATTCTACTTAGAACTTACCAAAATACAAAAAAACTGATAGAAATTTTATTGCGATGATGCCTGACTGCCTGAAAAACGAGGTGAAAATCCACGTGCTTTACAGCATGATGGGTTGAAAAAAAAAACTATTTATTTCTCTTCAACCGTCGTCGTCGTGCTATCAAATCATTGTGTAAATATAGTGAATTGTAATCGCTTTCGTTCAATTTGACTCGTGTACGTACGTGCAGTATTTAAATCAATGTCTATCTAATATACCTATATATCGGTATTACATAGTATAGGTACGCACGACGCGTGCATGCCCAAACACCAACCCCGCGAATGGGACAACACCACGCGCATAGCAATAATATATTACAATGCAATTACGTTATAATGAACGGCAAATGTCAATAATAATAATATATATTATGAGTGTAGGCATTTGGATTTTGAAACTGATTATGTTTACGCGGAGTTATTAAAATATAATACAGCAGACACGTGCGGCTTGATTAGAGGACTAGTTCTATTAAAGGGACGGATATTATATTATATTGTATTATGCCGTGTTAGCCTATGTCACGAGGCACACAAAAGTTATCATTAAAACGGAGAAAATTGTGGAAAACAATTTGCAACCCGTTCCTTGTGTGCGGAGACAGCAGCGATGTCCGGAACTAGCGTTTCAAGGATGTCTTCCGTGAGAAATTATATCAGGAACCAGTAAAATTTTTATCGAATCGTAGCCAATAATAAGATAAAAATTAATTAACTAGCCGTGTCTCGTATAGTGATCATGAAATCATTTCGATTTCTCACAAAGGAGACCGAATATATATTGTCTCATTAGTTGATTCTAACTATAATAATATATATTATTGTACCTATTATTATATTGTCATTAATTATTATACGATGCATTACGATTATGCACTATACCTATATCGCAGATAAGATTATAGTCTACGACGTGGAAGCGAAAAATTATTACATCGTTTTTATTATTTTTAGTTTCTTAAATCAAACAAACGATATGGTTTTTTTGTTATATTATTTGGGCCATATTATACCAAATAAATGATTTCATAATGTATGTAGAGTAACACTCAAAGTACTAAAGAAAAACGGTAGGTACTGTTCGATTTTAATACCGTCGATGAAACAATAATATTATTTAATTCGAGTCAATGAAACACACACTTGAAAACAGGAAGATAAAAGTATTATAATCACATTCCCTAATGGCTGTGTTCCTGATACTGACATCGTCGTGGTATGTTCGGTACATACTGTATTTTGGCGTATTTTAAATCGCAGAATAACATAATATTGTCTTGATGATTCATTTTATGTAATTTGTTTTAATTTGCTTTAAACTTTCTATAGTATACCTGTTTAAGTACTCAATTGATATTATTTATGTTTTATTTTTATTTATAATTAATTTATAACAACTTCGTATACGTGAACGAATTCGCGAACATTATAACGTTTATAGTAATGCAATAATGTTGACAGTAAGACTCGGCAGTAACATAAATAAAATAAATTAGTGTTTACATTTTAAAAATAATAAACATAGCTGATGTTAAGTGTTTTTGTTAAATTATTAAGTGCGTTTTTATTTTGTAGGTATACTTTGAAAATACATAATTCACAACATAAATATTTATTTTCAAAATACATTTTTAATTAAACGTAGGTATCATATTTTAAATTATTATATTAAGTACCTAATACATAAAGAAACGAAATATCTTTTTAAACACTACTTATTTATATAAATTTTGTATTGCTTTTTATTCTTAGAATTGTTTATTTCTTATATTTAAATAAATGTTAATCGGTCTTAGTCACTGTATAACACTCAAAAATCGGACATTATGGAATATCTGGATTTTTATATTAATATAATCGGTCAAAAATGGTTCAATAATACAATAATACAATATTATATCAACACTGCTCTTTAATATCGAAAATACCACATTTTTCTATTGAATTTTTATGTCATTGACAATATTGTATGACTAACATCTATAGGATGTACCACTGCAGTAAAAAAAAAGTATGGTTGACGATCGATTTTCAGTTCACGCCGTTCAATCATCATCAGTATGTCAAACCATCGTATGGTGTTTTTATTTCATTTATTATAAATATATTGTCAGTATAATATATCATTATAAATTATTTACATTTTAAAGTTACGAGACTTTCAATTTATATGCTAAACAATAGCAATAATACAATTATTATAAAATTATAAAATAGATAAAATGTCGATTAATAAAATAATGACTTTAAGTCTTGAACTATATACTGATTACTTTGTAATATTTATATTGCTACTGCAAATAACTTACTCAATTTAATATTACGTCAATCACTATTAAAATACATATATAAGCAGTTTTTTTTTCCAAGAAAACTATAAATGTTTTATTTTTATATACAAAATAAACAAAAAATTGATTGAAAAGTAACTTTAACCTGTCTCGCTGAAATGAAAAAGTTGAATAATATTTCCTTACACTATCGTATAGTTTGACGAGATATCTATTCATGCAGTTTTATAGAGCAAACAACGTGTTACTTCCTAAGATTATTTCAGTCCGTCAAATGTCTCGCGTTTATATCTGATAGTATCTTGTTGACGTATATACGCGGTATTTCGAGCATTTTATTATAAGGACCGTCACAAGTCAAAAAGCTCTAATACATTTCCTTTTATAAATTATATTATATATTATTGTATTCAGAGAACTTGAGTAAATTGAATTCGATACTTTTGTACCAGTTCAATATATACAACGTACAGTAAACGCATTACTATTGCACCATGTCACGTTATAAACGATTTATACGTCTTGTCTGTCGGTATTTCTGCAGACAAATGTAGTAATAATAATATGTCTAGTAAAGTACGTAAAATAGCAATGATGGATGCACTTGCCTGTTTACCGTCTCTGCCTTTCCACCGCGTCCACTTGTTAGAACCAGGCCTCCAATAGTCTATCATAATTTCCTCGACGAATTCTTTGCCGGATCCATTACCGTATCGACCTTGACTTTTGATGCCTGTGACCGCGTGCAATCCTTGCAGGTTCACCTCCAAATACTGTCGGCCATCGTTCGATATCATACCCTTCGGACACCAAGCGCCACCGCTGCCTTCATATTTCAGTCTGGAAATCGAAAATGATTTTTTTTTTTTTAAATAATTGTAGCGTACGTTTTATTATAGTTTGGATGGTAATTTTTTGGCTGTATTCTATGATTGAAATATTAAAAAAAAATCATAATAATATATTAGTATAAAACATATAGTATACTTTTAGATATCAAGCTAAAATATAAATTATATTGTTTGGTATGTTTAGTTAAATAGTTTACCCAAGAAGCAGTATATAACTATACTTTTCAAATTTTAAATCGATTAAACAAACTTTTATCATGTAATATGAAATTCAATTGAAATAGTCATAATTAGGATAATATAAACACCAGCATTGTACTTCTAAATTGTTGTTCTAGAATTGAGCGTTTAATTATATAAATATAAAAATAACATCAATTATTCTATGTTCGTAGATAGATTATGTTTACCTCCATAGTTTTTATACGAATATTATTCTAAACGAATTTAGGACATATTATTACATTAAATGCTTAATTTAATAGTCTGATTAATTATTACAGTAACTGTAATATTATTATATTTTGTGTTTTTGGTCAAATATTAAATTATTTGGTCAGTACGTCTAGAGCACCATAAACTCTGTTGCTATTCACCTGTCATAATTGAGACGTTATAATTTCCAATTAGATAACTCTAATACAATATATTTCTTTTTTTACTTAAGTTCAGCAAATAAAATCGTCTAATTTATTATTTAGTTAGCAGATAAATTTTATTGTGTGTTAATTTTATGTGTTTACGGCTTACCATGAAATTTGAACATTCAGTAATATTTTACATTAAAATCAATCATCGATTAAATGTTAAATCCCAAAATTGAAAGTAATATTATGTAACTAGAAACCACAAATTATTATCATTCTTGATATTTCTTTACCTAATTATTTGAGAAGCGTATACAGTAAATTATTATCATCAATATGAAATTGAATCTTAGAGTTTTCTTGTAAACTTCAAATAATTTTTTAATAAGCAACATTTGTTACACAAAGTATTACAATAAGAAGTTGTGATGAGTTTATATTGGGCAAAGTTTATAACTAGTGATAAAACTTCGGTATAAACTCATATGTAAATTAATTAATTCTACATTACTATATTATGTTCATTATATTATTATAACTTATAAGGCATGTATAAATGTAATAAAAAAGTTTTCCTTGTTTGTTAAGCACTTATTTCAGTAGGTACTCAATGATATGAAATGTTTTATATTAACAAAAACAAAACACTAATGCGCTAAATGTAAAAATAAAATATTTACTTGACAGTTATATTTTTATACAGAGTAATTCATTGAGTACGATCACTCCCATTTTTTCTATAAAACCGAATTTATTCAAATTCTGATTTTTAAAATGTTAACACACTTAAATTCTACATTTTAAAATTATTTAGATTTTTTGTACTACTATTTAGGGTTGTACTATGGTCATACAACTTTCTGTTTTTCTTATTTAAACCCCCCCCTCTTTATCTACAGTAAATTTGTTGGTAAGAATTGTTTTGAAATGTTGATGTACCTAACTAAAAATTTAAACGAATAGTTTTTCAGATATGAAAATTTATTTATCTAGGTACTAAAGATAATAGTTTTTAAAAATTATTTGATCAAAATATAAATTAGATGTAATATCAGATCTAATAATTATATTATGCTTGACTAGTTTCACAAATTATAAATGACAGATTAATATTAATTTCAAACATTTTAAATTTACCAAAGCTATAATACCTTCCAAAAACCATCACGACGGATCGTTTATCCATATTACATTAAGTTAAATACCTAGCTCAAAAACTACTTGTTTTGATTCATCAAAACTGTCAGATAAAATAAGTCACAGTATAAAAAATTAAGAGGGTTATCATTTGAAAAACAAAAATGTATACCTCCATAGTACGCTAAAAATTTTCTAAAAAAATTTAAATAACTGCAGAATCGAAGAAAAAAATTTTGTAAGCATGCTCGGTAAATTACTCCGTGTATATTATGGTCGTGCAGATAGATGGACTCAAAATCAATGTGAAAACGATAAGGAAAGAGTAGTCTTATAAATAAGCCGTTAACCCATAAAAAATATCTATAACCCGTGCACATGTATCGTTATATTTTAGAATTTTACGTGAATGTTTTACCGCGACGAACCAGAGCAATTGTGACACGATGACGGAGCATTTTTTACACATAAGTAATTGCACAATAGGTGCCTTTGGAGTGGTAGTTGGGTGAGTCTCGATGGGCGGGTGTGAGATGACGTTGTGTACTATTTACTTATTGGAGGCGTATTCCGTGTGCACTGTGCACTGCATTCACGCACGACACGACGAAAAACCGATGTGATGCAATTCGTCAACGTCCACCCGCCGGGAGTTACGCGTGTATATACGCCTACGATAATAATAATAATAATATATATAATATTATTACGGAAAAACGATCGAGAAATGATAAATCTCATTTCTCCGCACTGTGTAGCAGTGTAGCGGTGGACGAACTGTACAAAAACTGTCGATAAGACGTACTATATAATAGTTGAACGCCGTGGTATTTCGACGTTGTCGCTGTCCCTCTAAAATTTCTCCGGAAACGACAAGAAGATATTTTGACGGGATGGGTTAAGACGTATGAAATTTAATGAAAATAAATAAAAACGATAACAATTTTGGACGGTTAAAATCTTCCGGAGAATATTATAGTTTTTAAAAGATATTATCGCTAAAAAATAATCGACAATCCGAATATTAACATAATATTTTATTATTATCTATAATACATACGACACTTCGAAGTTTGTCTAGATTGGCATGTATAATTTATTATTTTTTAGGGATATTATTATCTCAAGAAACAAAACACGAAGTTATTTATATATTCATGGAAAAACGCTACTAGGTTTACAAAAGTTATGTATTTATTTAAACGTTATGCTATAGAAGTTTTGGTTTTAGAACCAATATGGTTCTAAGATTGAATTTACTTTTAAAAATACCGTCTATTTAATTATTATAGTGTTAATAATCGTGTTGCTGTTTAATTAAACCTGCAAGTTGGATTGCGCATACGCGATACGCCCATATAAAAGGTCTATATTTTTTGTTAAAAAATATGTCTTTTTACTATTTCCTAGTTCTTCGTTAAAAATCCTAAAATTTAAATCTAAGGTTACTGCCTACCGGACAGTAATATTTCATGTTTTCTTTAAGATAAAATACACTGCACCTATATACAAATATAGTACCTACGTTATGTATACAGTTAATTTTTTTTTTTCATTTATTCTAAATAACAGGTAGGTACCTATAGTACGTTTTCCGGAGTTTTATTATTATTTGTTTTTAAAAAACGGCCATTACGCATTGTTATTATGCTAGAATCTAGTATTGTATGACTATCAAAGGTAAATTACCACGAACAATTACAAGTTTTTATTTTAACAATAGCATCCACAGTAGCTGTGATTTGTGAATGTTTTATAAAAATGTATAATAATATATTACGATCTACATAGGTAGTTTTAGATACAATTTATATTCTCATGAAGTGATACGGTTTTTATTTTTAATATGTTTTACTAACAAGACGTGTTATATTTATATTTTTTTATTATTAGGCCTTATTAACTGTACTTAAAAAAAAAAATGTAGTAGGGGATTACATTAGCTTATAATGTTATCCCCATCATTATTTTAAGGAAAATTTGAATGACCGTGTAGACGTATGAGACGTTATCAGTAAATAATGGGTACGTGTAAAAATTATTTTAAATATTATTATTGTGTAGCAGGTACTTTTTTTGTATTATATTGTATATAGTAACATACGTATAAAAATATGTAAATTGTATAATACTGTAATTAATATTGTTTATACTGACTTATATTATCACTAAAATACTTCTAACGATTTAACTGTTTACTTATGTAATGAAATTCACAATTATTATTCTTTTTCATTTGATCCTTTAGATTTATTTCCATTTTTTTTTTTTTTTTTAATTCTCGTGCATTTTTTCATTGTCATTGTTATAGAAAAATATATCTTTAAAAATAATATTCAAATATTTTATTGTCTTCCGTATGTTATATTATTAGCAACATTCAACATCGGATATTGTTTTTAATCTATATCTATATTACATTATCTACCTAATTTTACGTTTCAGCTAATCGTTGATTGTGAAGGGATCTGGACAAGTCAATAGTTTATATTTTTTTTCTTTTGCGCTAATAAAATTACAAATTTATGTTTTGATGTTTTGTGTATAATATTTTAAGGCGTCAATAAATATAAAACTATTGTTTTCTTTTTGTACCTAGTTATTTAATAAGAGTTAGTTTATTTATTTTACAAAAATATCTAAGTAATTGGTATTCTTTAATAAAGTCTGTATTTGTTGTTAAACTTTAATGAGTCCCAAATAGCAAATATTTTAAAATCTTAATATGTTTAACGTTAATAAATTCTCAATTTTTAAAGAAACTGGCGGATATAAATGCAGTAACTATTTTACGTAATGTCACCGTTGAAAAGAGTCACTACTTTTTACCTAACTTCATATTATTTGTTTATACACTAATTGAATTTAAGAAGTTTTATCTCTTAAAACAATTCTAAAATAAAGACCAAATAGGGATATAATTTATTCATCAATAAAATTCACCTTCTAAAGAAACTTGAACAGTAGTCCCAACGTTCACTATCAGTCTAAAATTTAATTGAATTTTAATCAACGTTAAATTAATTGTATTAATAATTAATTTTTGATGTTCTATTCTTATAGATTGTATCAGTGCAAATAGTACTCAACGTTAAGGGATCAATTATTTTTTTTAGTTTTAATAAGCGTTAATTAAAACTAAGAAATATATTCAATGTATTCCCATGATTAAAGAAACCTGCAAAACTTACAAGGGATGACATGTGTGTATTTATATCAATAGTTGATAATATTAATCAAGATTTTTATGTTTTGTTTTTTAAAT